GAATAATTGTGTATTAATTACAGAGTTCAACCAATAGTACTAGAACAAACAAAATACTAAAAGGGGTAAAGTATTACATTGTACATCAACAGTGAGGAAAAGGGCCGATAAAGTCACTGTTTCTCATAGTGTCCATTTCACTTCAACAGGTTTCATTTTTGGTGCTCAGATAATTCTCGCCAATCAGGAAGAACATATGATATTTGTCCCTTTGGGACTGGCTTAATTCACTCAGCATAATGTTTTCCAGATTCCTCCATCTTGTTGCAAATGACAGGATTTCATTGTTTTTGACTGCTGTATAGTATTCTATAGAGTACATGTCCCATCATTTCTTTATCCAGTCTACTGTGGATGGGCATTTAGGTTGATTCCAGGTCTTAACTATTGTGAATTGAGCTGCAATAAACATTAATGTGCAGACAGCTTTTGTGTTTGCCAATTTCATTTCCTTTGGGTAAATTCCAAGGAGTGGGATAGCTGGGTTGTATGCTGGGGTTATATTCAGGTTTCTGAGCAATCTCCAAACTGACTTCCGTAATGGCTTAACTAGTTTGCATTCCCACCAACTGTGGGTTAGAGTCCATTTTTCCCCACATCCTCGCCAGCATCTGTTGTTGGTAGATTTCTGTATGTGAGCCATCCTATCCGGGGTGAGATGAAACCTCATTGTGGTTTTGATTTGCATTTCCCTGATGGCTAGTGATCCTGAACATTTTTTCATGTGTCTGTTGGCCATTTGGATTTCCTCTTTTGAAAAATGTCTATTGAGGTCCTTGGCCCATCTCTTAAGTGGGTTGTTTGATTTGTTGTTGTGGAGTTCCTTGATCTCTTTGTAGATTCTGTTTATTAATCCTTTGTCGGTTGCATAATTTGCAAATATTTTTTCCCATTCTGCTGATTGCCCCTTCACTTTCCTGACTGTTTCTTTTGCAGTACAGAAACTTCTCAATTTGATGCAATCAAAATGTTAATTTTGGCTTTGACTGCCTGTGCTTCTGGGGTATTTTCCATGAAGTCTTTGCCGGTACCTATATCTTCCAAGTTTTCTCTGATGTTCTTTTGTAATTTGATGGTGTTGGGTCATAGATTTAGATCTTTAATCCATGTTCCGTGGATTTTTGTGAAAGGTGTAAGGTACGGGTCTGGCTTAATGCTTCTGCATGTGGAAATTCAGTTTTCCCAGCACCATTTGTTGAATAGACAATCTTTGCTCTAGGAATTGGTTTTGGATCCTTGATCAAATATAAGTTGGCTGTAGATGTTTGGATTGAATAGAAGAGGATACCAAAAAATGGAAAAATCTCCCATGCTCATGGATTGGAAGAATCAAAATTATCAAAATGTCCATTCTCCCAAAAGCAATTTATAGATTCAATGCAATTCCAATCAGGATACCAAAGACATTCTTCTCAGATCTAGAAAAAATGATGCTGAAATTCATATGGAGGCACAGGAGACCTCAAATAGCTAAAGCAATCCTGTACAACAAAAACAAAGGCGGAGGCATCACAGTACCAAATTTCAGGACATACTACAGGGCAGTTATAATCAAAACAGCATGGTACTGGTACAGAAACAGATGGATAGACCAATGGAACAGAATAGAAACACCAGAAATCAATCCTTCTTCTTGTTTGGTCTGGCTGAGATATATCCAAGAATTTATCTTTTAGCTTGGTCATTTTTCTTCTGCTTCACTAACTTATTGTTAAGGCTTTCACTATATTTTTAATCCTACATATTTCATTCTTCATTTCTAGTATTTCAGTTTGATTTCTCTTCATTATCTCTATCTAGTAGCAGAAGTTTTCATCCATGTCATGTATGAATTTCTTTAACTCATGTATCATTTCTCATTGCTTCTAAGTTATCTTGTAATCATTCTTTTGAATTATTTTTCAGGCATTTAATTCATCAGTTTGCCTTCACATTTCAATATTGAAATGTTATTGCATTTTATTTGGAACATTATATTGTCTCCTTCCTTTGTCCATGTTTCTTATATTTCTATATTTATTTTTAGGCACTCGTGGAAACATTTGTTGGTTTTCTCCCCTGATGGCTTTTATCTTTTAAATATGTCTCTGTGGCTTAGCCAAGTATCTGTTACTTCAGTGGATATCCTGAGGTGTCTGCTGGATGGGGCCAGAGAACTCAAGTCAGTGCTTGAGTGTGGGAGGGAAGTTCAGGGTGACACCCAAGTTGGACATGGTTGATTTCCTTCATTGTCTGGTGGAAGGGGTATGATCAGGTCAGCTGGCATGATCACAGACTCACCTCCTTTCTGTCAAGTTGATTGAATGCCCAGGTTGAGCCCACAGTGACTATGCACTCCACCCATCCAGGCACTTGGACCACAAAAAGGATCTGTGTGATCATCTGTGTAGGCATGAAATCCTCTACAATGATCTATCCCAGTCACCCAGGGAATTCTGAGCCCCTAAAGCAACACACAGTGATTACCCAGAGACCTGGTTGCATTCCATATCCTATTGTATTTGCAAAATTCTCAAAGTCATAGCATACAAGGCTCCCACAGTCACAGGGAGCAGGGGATCCACTCTCAGCCTCCCAAGTCTGCCCAGTCACAGAAAGAGCCAAGGCATTCCGAGTCAGCTGCCTGTTGATGCTCTACCTTAGCAATTTGAGTACAGGAACCAATGATAAAATGAAGGAAAGTGAATGCCTCATGACCAAGTGGGCACCTCACCCCTTGCCTACATTGTAGGCCAGATTCATAGTCAGCAGGGATTAGGAATTATCCTACCAATGAAATGCCCTAGTGTCACCTGCCCATGAGCTGCAGCAACCTCTGCTCACTTTATTAAGATAGTGCTTCTTCCCTGCTTGGTTCTGTGTACCTTGTTGGGGGATAGGCAGATAGTATTGTGCTATTCCTTCTTGAGGCCAGGTGGGCACCTGTCCCCCATTAGTACTCCAGGCTGTCTTCAAAATCAGTGTCGTCTCAAGGTTCTCCCTCAGACAATGTCACCAGTGATTTGGGTTGCCACAGAGTCCTCTCACTTTGCTCCAAGACCATGAAATCTGATCCTGCTCCCTGCTGCAGGAGTCACAGTGTTGTCCTTGCTTGCTGCTGTGTTTGTACTGTCTACCCTGCTGCATGGTGTATTCTGTAGAATGCTCTAGAATTTCCACGGCAAACTTCTCCCCAATTGTCCCCTGGTAATTCAGTCTCTCTACTTTTCTTCTGTTATCTTCCCATTCTGAAAATCACCACATCTTTCCCCTATTTAGCCATCTTGCATTTGAGAAAAATACTTTAAAACCACAACAGAACCTATACTTCAAAAATGCACACTCTTTTCCAATTTTCTCTGGGGATGTTCCCATTTAAAATCTTTTTAAGTACTTTAGTTTTATTTCATTTGCTGAGTCTATTCTCAATTAATGTGAAAGTATTGTAAGAATATTAAGTCATCCCATCTTACCATTTTCCCATTAGTGCAACATAAAAGCTAATTATTATGCAGGCATTACTTATAGGGAAATGTTCACTAGCTGAATTTATAACCATTCCTTTTGTTTTTTTTAAACAGACTTATTTTATATTTGTTTGAAAGCAGAGTCCAAGAGACAAGGAAAGAGAGAGCTACTACTCACTAGTTCACTCCACAAAAGACCACAGTGTCTGCACCAAAGCCAGGATAATGGAACTTAAACCATGCCTTTCAAAAGAGAGGCAGGAACCCAATACCTTGAGCCATCACTACTGCTCCCCAGGGTCTGCATTAATGGAAACCTGCAGTAAAGAGCTGGAGCTACAGAGAGAACCCAGGGACTTATATGTGAGGTTTGAACATCCTAACCAATATCTGAACTAATAGATCAAACACCCACCCCAAACAATGAATTAACTATAAGTACAATAAAAGTTTTGTTAACTCATTTGTTTTTTTTGTTTGTTTTTGTTTGTTTGTTTGTTTGTTTTACAGGCAGAGTGGACAGTGAGAGAGATAGAGAGAAAGGTCTTCCTTTGCTGTTGGTTCACCCTCCAATGGCCGCCGTGGCCGGCACACTGTGCTGATCTGAAGGCAGGAGTCAGGTGCTTCTCCTGGTCTCGCTTGGGGTGCAGGGCTCAAGCACTTGGGCCATCCTCCACTGCACTCCCAGGCCACAGCAGAGAGCTGGACTGGAAGAGGAGCAACTGGGACAGAATCCGGTGCCCCGATCAGGACTAGAACCCGGGGTGCCGGCACCGCAGGCGGAGGATTAGTCTATTGAGCTGCTGCTCCAGCCTTGTTAACTCATTTGTACAATACCATAAACGAGCTCCATTTTTGTGTGTCACTTTTGTGCATTGTTTTACATACTTCATCTCATTAGCTATAGGCAACTATTTTTTTCAGAGCTATGTAAATCCTCTTTTAATTTTCATACATTGTCCATTGCAATGATAACACAAAGACATTTCTCCACCATCATCCACATTAGGAAAAGGGATGTGAAGTGGCCCAGAAAACCATGACCTGCGAGTGCCCTAATGACATCAGTCATCTGAGGATTGTGCAGTTAGATTCATTTTTCCCCCTACTTCTATTGATTTGTGTCTTGGGTACATTCCTCCTAAACATCCAGTGTATCAGACATCAGCTGCTGCAGACATTCACTTCGAAGGGATAAAGAAGTCCCTGGGGAGAAGGACTGTCTCACAGTACCGGTCCCAGCAACACCAGGCTGAGTGAGGAAACTCCTGGCATTCTACTCGTGCAATTTCTAAGCCCAGTAGAAGAATCTGGAGGACAGGAGCAAAAGACAAGAAGGAAAGAAGCTTGTCTGGGCAGGGCTTATTTTGGGAACATCTGCACTGAAGGCAGAGTATCCCCCGCCCGGTGGCTGGGCGAGGGCTACTTTGATGACAAAGGTAAGTGCTTCCTAAGGGGTGGATCTGGGCGCTGACTGGAAAACTGACAAACACGCCAATGGCCTGCCCAGTGAGGCTGAGAGCCAACGCAGTGTGTGGTGGGGCCAGCGAGCGTAGCAGACGCACTGTGAGCTTGGAGCACAGCACGAGGCCCAGGTTTCTCTTCCTACCTTCATGTCCACATGTCACATGTCCTGAGAGGCGGCCTGGGCGTAACTCAGAAGTAGGTTCAGCCCCACCACCGGCCCCACGACGCTCAGCCACGAGGCGATGTAGTTGATGTTCCTATTGATTTTCTGAGGATTCTTTAACACCAGAGTCATGGATTCATTTGTCTTGCAAGGATGAAGTACAAAAAAGGGTTGGCCAAGTATTGGTGTCCCATAGGCCCTGCAGCAGCCGCGTCCTGTAGCACTCGTGGACTCCTTCCCAAACGTCCTCCAGGGTCAAAGGCCACCCCCCTAAAAAGCTCGCCCTGAAGTACAGCACAGGCACTTGGAAGCTACCGGAATATAAGACATGATACTCGTGTCGTATCACCTGTGACGCTGCTGCCACCTCGGGAGCTTCGGCATCACCCGAGGGCAGTTCTGCAGCTTCCTCCGTGGGAAGACCCGTCTGTTCGTGGGCAGATGGTCTTGGGCGAGGCGCCACGGTCCCGTTTTTAATTTGCAAATGCGTTTTGCACATGTAGCCATCAGAACAGTCCTGGGGTCCACCACCAGACTAACACACTTCCAGGTTCCTGAGCAGCTATAGGCAACTATTACAAAGGTACTGGATGATGAGTTCCATGAGTATATAAATAAGAAGACAAATTTAAAGCTCATCAATAAGGAAAACCAGAGTGACAAAAACATTTCTCAAACTTGTCTTTTGGCTTCAAGACCTATACTTTTCCCTGAAACTAGCATTACTTCCAGGCTCTGGGGAGTTAACATTGGATCATATATTATTTCATTTTCTATTTGATTATTTTATTGGCTAATCTAGAAGTATGAAATTTTGGTTAACATGCTGATATGATTTCATTAATTTCATTAGGAAATTAAAATTATATTCATTTTGTTTTTCTACATGAACTTTCAGGCGTTTTTCTCAATCTCAATTGCTAATTAAATAAAGGGGGAAAATTAGGAAAAATTTATATACCGAAATATAGAATGCTTCTGGTATCCAAGGGATTGAAAGAGAGGGGGTTGGTGCCACGGCTCACTAGGCTAATCCTCCACCTGCGGTGTGGGCACCCCGGGTTCTAGTCCAGTTGGGGCGCCGGATTCTGTCCCGGTTGCTCCTCTTCCAGTCCAGCTCTCTGCTGTGGCCTGGGAGTGCAGTGGAGGATGGCCCAGGTCTTTGGGTCCTACACCTGCATGGGAGACCAGGAGGTCTCCTGGCTCCTGGCTTCAGATAGGCGCAACGCGCTGGACCTAGTGGCCACTTGGGGAGTGAACCAACGGAAAAAGGAAGACCTTTCTCTCTGTCTCTCTCTCTCTCTCTCTCACTGTCTAACTCTGCTTGTCAGAAAAAAAAAAAAAAGAGAGAGAGAGGAAAATGTCTGTATACAATTTCTTTCTCGAATTGGACAGGATGATTAAGCCTAGTGTATCTGTAAATCAATTTGAATATATCTTTAACAATCTTTTTGTTCTCCTACTCACACAGCATGTCTATTGTTAAAGCAATTTCCTGTTTTATGTTAGACATATTTCAAGTTTTGAGTTTATATAGTTTTAGAAATTAAATGGTGCTAACAAAAACAATTTACAATCTACGTTAAAATGTTGCACATTTACTAATAGACTAACAAATCTGGGTGAAACTTTATGCATTAATATGATTATTGAAGACATGAAAACTGCCATGCTATGCATGTGTTGCCTAAAAATCCACATTTTTAAAAATAAGATAACTGATATAATTTAAATTAAGTTTACAATTATATTTTACAAAACAAAATAATTCATTAGCTAGATTGCAAAGCTCATTATTTAAATAAAATTACATCTACACTAAACATGTATGTCTCTATTTAAATATATTATAATTTAATTGTATATTTATTGAAAGAGAGACACAAACAGGTAGAGACAGACACAGAGACCTTCCTTAAGCTGGTTCTCTCCCCCAAAATACCTGCAACAGCTTGGGTTAGGCCAGGCTGAAATCAGGAGACAGGAACTAAATACAAGTCTCCGACATGGGTGGCAGGAGTTCAGTTAATTGAGGCATCATGAAATGCCTACCAGGATATGCATTAGCAGGAAACTGGAATAGATCTGATTTATTTCACTTTTAAAAAGACAACATGGTTTAAATCAAGTACTTAATTGTTTAAATATTACTTGTATGAAAGTTAGGCATATAGGTTCATTATTTATTCAAAATGAGAATTTATCAAGTTATTTATGCATAAAATTTTCCCCAAATTCATGTTTTATGTAAATAGAAGAAAAATAAATTCTTTAAGCATCTAAAACATGCTGATTTTCTCAAGCTCTATCTTCCAACCTACTTATTGTCCAAGTTATTGCTCCATTGTCATAACAAGTTATTTGTTAATTTATATTAATATTGCACTTCCTACATAAATGGGATAGTGCCTATAATGTCACTAACTCACTGTCTGATACCTAATAAATTTTACTCATGAATTGACTGCTTAATTTTTATAAAACCTTAAACTTTACAAAAGTATCAGAGTAATCAAATATTTTTTAAAACTGTAAATATGAATAACAAAATTATTATTTTGTCAAATTTATTTTTTCCTAATTCCCTCCCTCACCCAGCATATTAACCTAAGTAATGTAAGTTTTTACAGGAAAACTTACTCTTTGAAAGTATAATAAACAAAAATGGTTTCTAAAACATGCTATTTCTGTGTTATAATCAATTCAACTCCTCTTTATGCAGCATTCAGCCCTGAACAGAATTCATTTTATCTCAGTGAATTTGTTAAGTAGGGGAGAGTTTTTATCTAAAAAGTACTGAGATGGCTACTATAATTATTAATTGGAAGTGCACATTTGTTCCTCAATGGGAAAGAGCAACTAAATGTAGCACAATATCTTATTCAAAATTTTGTTCCAATCCAGCAACCCTGAATTCATTTCTTTCAAGTGTTAAGTATTTATCCTTCCTGTATCATTATGGCAAATTATATATCAAGACATACCTTTGTGATCTTTTTGAAAAGCATTGGAAAGAGTTCTTCCTTTTCAGTAAAGGATAAAGAATTAGCTTTCTACAATTCATCTTTTAATTAGCAATTTTTAAAAAGACTGTTTAAAAATATGTGTGTATTTTGAGTAATTAGATCATCCACTGTGAGACAGATGACAAGCAACTAAGCATGCTGAAGTGCTCTTAGAGAACTAGGAAGCTTACAGTCCTGGCTTAATACTTAACAAGCTCTTTATACAAAAATCAGAAATAAAGTTCTTTATAACATGATACACTGATTTTTGCATAGCTCCTATCAGCCCAATGATTATTTAGTTTATGAACATGCCTAAGGTCCTAGAAGTTGTTCTTTGCTTTTTTTTTAATGAAAGATATCTCATATTTGTAAGTTGAAAAAAATGAATATTATTAAGGTACCCAAAATGATATACAGATTCAAAGTAATACTTAATGAAATTCACATGAAATTTTTTACAAAATTAGAAAAAAATCTAAAATTTATATGAAATTACATAGGCTCCCAAATAACCCAAATGACTTTGGAAAGAAAAAAAAAAAAAAAACTAGAGGCATTACAATTTAAGATTTCAAAATACAAGACAAAACTGTACTAATTAAAGCTTTAATTTTAACTCTTTGTTTAAAATTTCTTTTCATTTATATAAAGAAAACAGATTTCATGTATTTAATATATATATATATGCAATTTTAAGCCCATAATGATACTCCCTACCATCCTTACCCCTTTCTTGCTTTCTTTTCTTTTTTTAAAAAAAATGACAATAACACACTTTGGTTTGCTTTATAGACAGGCTTAATCCTCCACTAATTAAAGAATTCATCATCAAGTAGAAAATAGAAAGACTACTATTTCACATGAGTGTAGACAAGAACTATAAACAACAATCAAATCTCAAGATGTCAATTTCTGTCCTATTCATTGCATTTTTGTATGCTATATATATTGGTTGCAAATCAAAGGACATATATAATATTTGTCTTTCTGAGTCTGGCTTATGTCACTAAGCATAATGATTTCCTATTGCATCTATTTCTTTCAAAGACAAGATTTCATTTTTTAAAAAGAATTATGTACTTATTTGAAAGTCAGAGTTGCACAGAAAGAGAAGAAGAGGCAGAGAGAGAGAGAGAGAGAGAGAGAGAGAGAGCGGTCTTTCCTCCATTGGTTCATTCCCCAACTGGACGCAATGGCTGGAGCTGCACCAATCTGAAGCCAGGAGCCAGGAGCTTCTTCTGGGTCTCCCACGGTGGCGGGGTGGAGGGGCAGGGTGCAGGGGCCCAAGGACTTAGGCCATCTTCTACTGCTTTCTCACATCATGAGAGCTGGATCAGGAGTGGAGCAGCCGGGATCCAAACTGGTGCCCATATAGGATGCCAGCACCACAAGTGGCTGCTTTGCCAACTATGCCACAGAGCCAGCTCCATGGATTTCATTCTTTTTATGACAGAGTAATATTCCATCATGTATATGCACCCCATTTCCTTTATGTAGTCATTAGTTGATGGACATCTTTGCTTATTCCATATCTTAGCGATTGTGAATTGAGCTGCCACAAACATGGAGGTAAAGATTACTTTCATATGCTTATTTGATTTCCTTTGGATAAATTTTCAGCAGTTGGCTGACTGGCTCATATGGCAGATCAATTTTCAGATTTTTGAAAACAACTCCATCCTTTCTTTCATAATGGTTGAGCTACTTTACATTTCAATCAACAGTGTAGTAGAATACCTTTTTCTCCATGTCTTTCAAGAATGTGTTATCAGTGGCATCCATGAGGAAAGCACTTTATAAGAAATCAGACAATTAAATTTAGTATCTAGGTAGTCTAGCCCCTATTTTTCCTCCTGTTAAGATAAATGGGGTTGGGGCCAGTGCTGTGGCATGGTAAGCTAAGCCTTCCTGTGTGGCACTAGCATCACATACTGGCAGCAGTTCACCTTCCAGCTGCTCCTTTTCCAATCCAGCTCTCTGCTTATGGCCTGGGAAAGCAGTGGAAGATGGCCCATGTGCTTGGGCCTCTGTACCTGCGTGGAAGATCTGGATGACATTCCTGGCTCCTGGCTTTGGATTGGACCAGCTCTGAACATTGCGGCCATTTGGGGAGTGAATCAGTGGATGGAAGACTTCTCTCTGTCTCCCTCTCTCTGTCTGTAATTCTGCTTCTAGAATAAATAAATAAATCTTTAAAAAAAGATAAATGGGATTTTAACATTCAGACTTCACTAGGCGCTCTGACACACTCAAAAATGTAGTAAAATTGGAGAACCAGTCCCTTGTGGTAAAAGCCTGATAGAGAAAACCCATGGCCATGGGGAGAGGGGTTTGGAGCTCGACTCAGGAAGTTGTCCCCCGTCTCAGCTATGAAACAAAAGACAAAAATCTGTGGAGGAAATGGAGATAAAAATGGACACACTTACTTAGAAAACTGGTGGAAACCCATTGTGCAGACAGCCCTTGGACAAATCAAGGCCAGTCTTGGCTTGTGGAGTTCTTGGGATAA